CGTATATAACACACAAAGTGCGTGTAAAGTAAAGGGCTTTCAATGTGTGTGTACGTACCACAACCGGACATCCTCATAATACAGTACTCCTCTTGTGTTTATTATAAGTTTTAAATAACTAATCTATAAATAATAAATAATTAGTTAAAATTAGTTTAAAACAATAAATATGTTAAAAATATACTTTTATTTTCAAATATATCCTAATAATAAATAAAAAATGAAAGAAAATGTGTAGAAAAATATGATAAGAAAGAAATAATTAAGAGTAATATTAAAAAAATATATTAAATATTAAAATAAATTAAAATTAAAATTTATAAAATAAATCATATTTTTTTCTAAATTTGAAGTTTATAAATATTACGGGCGGGAGTAATATTTAAATAATAAACTCAAACGTTGAAACGCTGAGCCTCGCCTAAAAAAGTCCCTTTAATACGTATCCCACTATTACCCATTACACACCTAACGAAGCAACCAGGGTATGACTTTTATAAATGGGTCTTTTTTTTTTTTGCCAACTTATAAATGGGTCTTTTATTGAAGCTCGAAGGGGCAAAATTAAAGCACCTTTGCTTTAGGTACGTGTTTGACAAAATAGTTCAAGTGCCATTCATTCCTCTTTCTTTTAGGGGGTAAATTGACAAAACCCAACCCGTTCACTTGGTAAAAGCTTTGCCCCCACATATGCATATGTGTGTTATCAATAAACGCAGCTCCACGCTACATGTATAAAGCTTCCTTATCCCCGCGTGGGACTTAAAAGTTTGCTCAGATTGCGCTGCAAGTCCCTCCCTTTCCCCTGCAAGATTTACCATTCTATAAAGCAAAAGCTTAATCTTTTCATAGCTTTATTTAGTTTCTCTCTTCTTCTTTTTTAACTACAAGTATTCTGAATAGTTTGTGCTCATTTCATGACAATTATGCCGTAATCTCTGGTTTTTAATATAAAAGTTAAATAATTAATTTGTAAATATTTAAAAAAATTAATTAGGTTAATTATCTATAATAAATAAATGTTATTTTTTCTAAAATATTTTTTTAATCATATGCACGAAGATAAAAACTCTTTTAACATGTGTATTTATTATAGCAACTATTTTGGGAGAAAAGTGAATAAATATGGGCGAAAAGTATATTGATGCCTTATAGTTATGACCAAATTAAATCTATAACTAGCTCCTGTACTCTTTCAATGCTAAATGTAAAACTAATTTTATAGTGTAGATTACACTATAAAATGAGTCTTTTATTTTAAACCGGAAGAGTATTTAGAATCAGGTGTAGTATTATATAATTGATCCATGCTATTAACTAACTAACAATGAATTATTGATGTGAATCAATTATATAATCTAAAGTAAAATACACCAACCACCTTTATATTTTATCTAAATTACAGAAACCCCTCCTCTATTTTGAAAATATATATAGACCTTCATTGAAATTAAAATGTATGTTAATATTTAAAGTTTCATTTTCATCCATCTCACTGTTAAGTTTGACTTTTTTAAAAAAAAATTAACCAAAATACCCCTTTTAACATAAAAGTTATTTAAACATTTATACTTGTCAAAAAAAATTTTTGAACAACAAAAAATAATTTTAATACATGTATTTTCAAAACTTTTGAAATGTAATAAAATTTATTAATTTTTATTATATTATAAACTTTTATAATTTTAATTCTTCATCATATAAATGAAACTTATTTATTTAGTTTTTTTAAATGGTTATAAAATAAAATAAATACATATTATTTTCATCATATAATAAAAATTAATAAATTAATTCTTCATCATATAAATGAAACTTATTTATTTAGTTTTTTTAAATGGTTATAAAATAAAATAAATACATATTATTTTCATCATATAATATAAATTATCTAAGTTAGAAAGATTATAGAAATCATTTAAACTTATAATTTAAAATTTTTAAATAAAAATTTTGTTCGAAACATTTATGACCTTTTTAGTCAATTATTTACTTAAAGAATTAATCAAATTTTCGTTCAAGTTTTTTTTGTCTACATTAACTAAATTACTTAATTTTCTATGCCAATATGATGAAAACATTAAACAAATAACTATTTAAAAAAATAAAAAAATAAAATTAAGGGAAAGAAAAAACTTTCAATTCTTCAAAACTTTTTTTACCTAAAATTAAGAGATTTAGTATATGAAGGGTAAATTAGTAAGTAAAAAAATATGTTAATATAAATTTTAATTAAAAAGTATCTTTTTAAAACATTCTTAACAGAATTAATAATTTAGACTTAAGTGTCAAAATGAAGGGGAATGTCTGTGTAATTAGGAAAAAATATAAGAAATATTAGAGTATTTTGCTCTATAATCTAATAAAATTCGTCTGTTTGATATATCGGTGTAGGGATTTCATAACTCTTAAATTGAAATACTATGTGCTAATTTCATCACATTGGGTTATAGTTAAGATTAACTAATTATCACTGCTAGTGTCAATTTTTGTCCAGCTTGATTAATTAATTATCAATGCGATAGCATTCTAGAGAGCGTCAAGATCAGATCATAAATGTCTGTTTTTTTTTTTTCTCTCTCAGTAAATCAGGCTATCAATGTCTGCTAGCGTCTCCCATCGAATGGTCTGTATATGTCCCACGATCATAGAAGACACGTCTCATGGCGTGTGGCTCCTAAAGTATGGATATTGTTTGAATAAATAAAGCTTAATCAAATAAGAGCCACGAACATATATAAAAGTAAAGTTTATAGAAAGGGCCAAAGCATTGACAAAAGTATTAACAAAGGTGAAGGAGACGAGAGGGCATAAAATTAAATTTTTCTAGAAAGTTCTTTACTCAGAGATATTAATAATATTGCTCGTTACTGTTAAAAATGTATGTTAATGGTTAATGGTTGATGTTACTAAATTTCAAAACTTTTAAAATAAATTTGCACACAAATTTTTTTTCCCAGATGCCCAATAATAATATTTCTGGAACAAATTTATACATTATCCTTATATAAAATATATAATTTAATTGCAAAGAAATCACATCAGTATATTGATAAACAATACATTTTTCTTGGGTTGGGGACAACCATTTTATTTTTATTTTCAATAGTTATCCATACATTTCATGAATCTAGCGTTGTTTTGATGAGAAATTAGAAGATTGGTCCGGCAAAAAAAATTGGAACAGGTGTTGAAAAACTTAAACTTTCTAATTTTAATATTGGTTCAATGTTACATGAAACATTAAAACAATGGTATTTATACATTTCACAAAGAAATTGGTAATATATATGTATATAAACACTTCATCTTAAAACTTATACTGTTGACAAATTTCTAGTTAGTGTTTGTGTGTGTATATTACCTCGGGTCATATTTATAAGATCTCGTTTGTATAATCATCATACGGTTCATAAGTGATATATTACCTCCGGTCATAATTTGCAGTTTACAAATTATGACCGGAGGTAATATATCACTTATGAACTGTACGATGACTTCTCATAAATTTTACATTTTATATTGATGACAATGATATTTATGACTTCAATTACTTAATGCGTTAATTTGAATTTTAACTATTATCTCGCTCGCAAGATTATCAATGGAGAAAAGTGTGGTTGGGACATTTGATTTTGCCGATTCTTTGACCATTGCTATAGTGGATATATAAATATATATATATATATATATATATATATAAAATGGCGGCCTCTTCATTCTTCTCTGTGATGTGATTGATTAGAGGGACAACCCGTTGATGTTTATTTTCTTCATTACTTTAGCCAATCCAATAATTTTGATTCTTGTGAAACCCCCAGGTCCTCCTTCAATTATATTTTAACTGGGTTAATTGCTATAATTGCAATTTTTTTAGTTACAAGCGTTGCCCATCTATTGGCCATTGATCTATTCACATTCTCAATGATTGCACTAATCGATAATATGACCTGGATTATTTTAACAATAAGTTTCCACATCAAATAGTAGTGTACTATGAAAAATTGCATAGACGTTAATTGATGGCCACATGATATTAATTAAGCAATTAATTTAATCATGGTCCCTATTAACAAGTAAGAAAAAGAGTCCACACGTACATCCCCCCTAATGTTAGTTTATTGAATCTTAAGATCTCAGTCTAATTATTAGTGAAAACACGAATACTTTATTATTGATTACATTACTGTGATTAATTAATTAATTAATACACGCGATAAAACAGTAAGTGCGAAACACAGACCAATAAATGAATTACAACTTACAAAAACTTATTCGAATAAAACACCAAGATTTCTGCTTTCTGCTCTGTTACTATTACTTATCAGCCTTCATCATCTCTAAAATGTCCCGAGCTGGACGCCGCGTGTCCTTGAAATTTAAATGAGAGTTATAGTGACTCTTTGTGCTTTATTAGTGAATGCCCAATGGAATTAGTTGAACGAAAAAGACAAGCTGATCGAAACAAATTAGGAAAACTAAAAACGCATCTGTATTTTTAGTTGTTTTGGCCAGTTTGGAGAAGAATGACAAAATGCACATTACTCCCTCTAATCCTATATTTATAAATTACTTGAATTAATAAAATGTATTTGTTGATATATAAAAATGTGTTACAAATGATTTAAACTAAGCATCAGAGTGGTTATAACATCCTGCCCCGAAGCCTGCTATATATACACCAAGTCTATTGATTTGGGCAATTTATTTCGTCTGTTGTGTGCATTTCTCACTTCTTAGTTACTGCCAAAAGATATGCTTGAATTGAAGTATACAATGTTTTTTATAGTATGCTCTCTCTCTCTCTCTATATATATATATATGCGTCCATGCATGGATATATATTATATATACGATGGTTTTTGGAGTAGTGGCAGCACTAATAAAATTACATGCACAAAGAAATATAAACTTCAAAACCCTTAATAAATTGAATAATTTTTAATTAATTATCCTAAACACCCAATTTGAAAAGAAAACTATGATTTCTTATATCTTTCGTACATCTTATTAAACAATTTATTGTCCACAACTTAAAACAATTAAAGTACAGTACTGAAACGCCAAAGCCAAAGGATTGTATGGATATTGGACATATGCTCAAGCTAGCTATATATGCGATATACTCCATACTATATCATATAATTAATCATTGACTATTGGACTTAAAAAGACTAAAAATTCAAGTGACTTTGGAATAAGCGACGAGTACGTACAGTATCAATATGTATTACGAACCATAACCAGTGGTTCCGCCATTATAATAGTGAGTGGCCAAGAGATAAGAGAGACATAATAAAAGGTGGCTAATAAAGCCAAACTGATCCAACTCACCAATACTTAGAAAAGATAGCTGCACCTTGAATTTCTTCCTCTACCAACGACAAAACACAACGCTCTTGCTTTAGTCCCTCCTTTATCATCCAAAGTCTCCCGGTAGGTACGACGACGTCCTTTATTGAAAGAAGAGAAATTATTATTCCTAATCTTCCGCAAAAAGACAGGCACAATTCCATCATCCCCTTCATTCTGTAATTCCTTTTATTATCACCATGAACAGATCACAACATTGTGACAAAAGGGTTTTCACAACCCAAAAACAGAGGGAGCTGTCAAATTTTAATTAAAAAGAGGGAGGAAAAAAAAAACACCAAGACGACAGTGTGATGACAAATCAGAAGTAACCCCCAAGTACGTCCGAGCACGCACTGGATAGCTAGCTAGCTAGCTCTCACTTCAAGAACCAACCCAGAAAAAAACTGCTCATTATGCGACGTTACAGCAGCGAAAAATAGAAGGTCTTGATTCGTGAGATGTAGTAGCCAGTTTTGAGGTATATACGCGTGGGATCAAATACAGAGATACGAGCGACGTCGTAATTCACCTATCCCACAAATATTTAGGGCGGGGCGAATCAAGAACGGCCATTGTCTTCTGCAAATTTAGATCTTTGTAGAACTTCTTAATGAATTCTTCTGCCGCCAAGTCCACCTGGCTATCTCCGTCGTCCTTCAAGGGAAACGGCGAGTCGGTCACTCTCAGTTGCTTCCCGATAGGGCTTTTCCCGAAGCCTGGCAATGTCACCAGAGGCGAGGCTTCCACGAACTTGGAATTCTCATTGTTCAGCATCTCCAGCACTTTCTGGAAGGCATTCACGGTGCACACGTCGTCGTATTGGTACGACTTACCCAGCTTGTGCTTGCGCTTGATGGCGGAGGCGAAGGGGTAGGCGGGGCTGTTGCTGCAGCTGAACTCGTATTCACGCGGAGGGATGAAGGAATGGTGGTGGTTGTTAGATCGAGAGGCAAAGGCGGCGGCGAAGTGGTGGTGGAGCATCAGAGTGCTGTCGGCTAAGGCCTTTCCGGCAAGCTTCCCGCGTTTGAGAAGCAAATGGAGCTCAAGCGCGACCTTGCTCTTGGCTATACCTTTTCTCAACATGACCAGAACCAACCGTACAATGCTCCAAACCTTCTTGGCCACCACCGGAGCTTTAGCCTCAGTTTCCATTTCGATCGAGAGGGAGGGAGATACAGAGAGAAAGCGAATAAGAAATTGAGATTGGATATGGAACGAGAAAGAGCGAGCGAGAACAGGTATATAAAGGGACGTAGTGCATGATTGGAGAGCGAGTGAAATCCCACGAGCGCGTGCGCGTGTTGTTGAACTAATGAGATTTGAGAGGGATAGGCACGAGATGGAAAGGGAGGCATGCATGTGTGGACAAGAACGATATAGATAATGTTTTTAAATTAAATTAAATGCTAAATTGTGGGGGATGCTGTTTCCTGTTTGTGCCTTTTATGGAGACTGTGAGTAGAACAGTGCGAGCAGCTCAAACGGCGTGTGTTTTACGATGAAGTGGCAAGGAAACAGGTGAGAGCCTGGTTTACGATAACAAAAGAGAATTAGTTTCACTGTTCATCTCCTTAATAAACACTCCCAGTCCATGACTATTGAAATTTTATTTAAATGGTTCAGATTTAAAATTTTTAATTAACTATTTTTAAATAAAAATTTATTTTTAAAAAAATATAATTAAGAGATTATTTTTATTTTTTATTTTATGTATATTAAAATAATTATTTTAAATAAATAAAAAAATAAATTTGGACCACTCATATAAAATCTGGATAGTAGAGATCTAATGATAAGGTCAGGACGCGTCATTGAAGTGATAAGCACAGTAACTAGTTACATAATAAACGACATCGACCCCTGCAGTCCGCACTCACTTTGCGGACGGATATCTCCCTCTGCACACTAGAGTTGAATGTATAATTGAGGAGAAATTCGGGGTCAAATTTAAATTATCATTTCCCCATTGCCGTGCACTCTAAGCTAATCCATACCGCTAGCTCTGATGCGTTAACTTTGAAACCCCCGACCCAAAAAACAAAACAAAAAATGATGCCTTTCATATAATGTAAAAATAAATACTACTCATCTAATTTTTAATATAAGACCTATTTAATTAATTTGTTAAAATTAAAAAAATTAGATAAGTTAGTTAATTATAAGAAACATGATACTACATTCAGTTCTAATTATAAGACTTAGTTGACTAATTGGAAGAGATTAAGGAAATAGGTTAAGTTAGTTATTTGTAATAAATAAGTGTTGTCATTCCTAAAATATCCTTACTAATTAAGTGTATTGGTTAGAACTATCATTATTAGAAGGACTATCTTGGAAAAAATGCATAAATATGAGAAACAAAATAAATTGGGGTCTTATAATTAGGACCAAACTAAAAGTCAAATGAGGTCTTATATTAAGGACTGGAGGTAGTATATTTTTTTCTAAAACCCCATAATCATTTTTCTTAATATATTTCTTTTCTTACTTACTTTATTATGGTTAAAGAAGTATCCATAGAGGTAATTTGAAAAAAATTTGATAAATATAAAAAATAGATCTTATATTTAAAACTAAAATTAACTTAATAATTAGGTTCTATATTAAAAACTGAAAGAGTATATTCAAACTTGGGATAGTACTCCTCCGGTCCTTATTATAAGACCCCATTTGACTTTTTATTTGGTCCTAATTATAAGATCCCAATTCATTTTGTCTCTTATATTTATGCATTTTTTTCCAAGATAATCCTTCTAATAATAATAGTTTTAGTCAATATACTTAATTAGCAAGGATATTTTAGGAATGACAACACTTATTTATTATAAATAACCAACTTAACTTACTTCCTTAATCTCCTCAAATAAATCAATTAGGTCTTATAATTAGGACCGGAGGAGTATTAATTATGAGTCCATTATATGCATACTTTCAGCAAAGCTAATCCATGCCCATTCTTTATGTAAAAGACGGCGACAGGTGCCAACGATCTATTCTGACAGACGTGGTAATGCCCATTTCCAGTTTTCCACTGTGGCAAGGTAAGATCGCCAGCTCAGAATTTTGGCAATCTACTTAACAATGAAAAATTTATCTGTTTTTTTTTTGTAGTAATAATAATTTAGTTCAGGAATAGCGCATGCATGATAATTTTAATGTGGACAGTAGATTTTATTTTATTGTGTGTATTGGTTTTAATCAAATTTTGCATAAGAATTTACTAATTATCCGGCGATCCCTTAAAATAAAAGCGTAGTAGCAGTGTATGACGGAGCGTGTGTCTCAAATTATTGCATTTTGAGAATGAAATAGTTTGTTCAAGACATATCTTCGACGGTACCGGCATTTGAATTATCATTGCTCTGCATGATCTAAGGTACTGGTCCTTGCATAGCCATAGCGGACGGAGCCTTGTGTAAGTTAAACTGTTAAAAGGGAAAATTGTTGGCAAAAAAAAAAAAAAAAGGTTCAACGGAAAATTATAGAAAAGTTTGTTATTGGAGAAAAATTTTATTGGTAAAAATAACTTGAGTTAAAATATCGACGCCTTGTTTGTTTTATCGTTTTCTTTATTTTAACTACCGCACAGTGGGTTGGTATGGCAATTCGATGAAAAGTTATGCAGTGTAATAACACTGAATACGGAATAATTACATCTACGCGAAGTAAATAATGCATATTATAAATTAATTTGACTTCTTCACATCTTCAATCGACTAACTGAACACGGACGACATTTTAGAGTGCCTGTAAATTCTTCCGATACTTAATATAAAACTTAATTAACTTATTTAAGTATGTTAAAAATATTAGTTAAATTAGTTAATACTGTATATTTTTACTGAAATACCATAAACATTTTTTTTTAAATATTTTTTACATCTTCTACTTAATTATTATTAGTGGAATATCAATAGAGTTAATTTAAAAAATTAATAAACATTTAAAATAGATTTTATATATGGGACTAATATTAATATATCGATTAGGTTTTATATTAAATATTAAAGGAATGGATGTTGCAGTGGAATCTCAGACGACGTAAGAAAGAACATGAGATGTCTGTTCATATTTCGTTCTGGTAATTTAGATATCAAGTTCATGTTTTATTTAAGCAATTATTTTAAATGAATTGAATATAAAATAAAAATAATATTATAACATAAAATTTTTTAATAACTTTGTTTCCAAAAAATATATATTTTTAATAATATAATACACACTAGATTGGACTGATTAAGCATAAGGCGAAGAAATATATTTCAAATCATATAAATTTGCTCTATAAAATGATTTTCGTGTAAAAGAAATCTTTTTTTTAAAAAAAAAAAAAATCCCCTCCTCGAGTTAAATGGCATATTCTGAACACGTGGCACGCTCAGGACTGCGTCCATCCATCGCGATTCGCCGCATCACCCGGGTGGCCGAGGCTAGCCTATGGCCTATAGGCAGTCTCTTCCCCCAGACCCAAATAAACCTCTCTTTTTAGGAATAAAATGTTATAGGCAATTCAGTCACTGAAACGCTATTTCGTAGCGACGAAGTCTCTGGCTAGTGGCCACCGGAACTGGCCATCCTTTTTCTATTGTTGTTTTTGTTTGTTCTCTCGCGCTGCTGGCAATACCACTAATTATTTATTTTTTCTGGGGTCCTCCTTCATGCTCCTAGAAATTAAGCTGTGTGATTTTGTTTTGGGTTGGGTTTGGATTAAGTATTGTTGGTGGTTTGCTTACCAGCGGAAAGTACGGAAATAAAAAGTGGAATTAAAATATTACGAGAAACTTGTATTTGTGGCAATTCTGATTTTGACCAGTGGAGTTTCCTTAGCTCTCTCATCTTCCTTCCCACATTCCTTCATTCCCCGAGAAATTCGTGTTTTTGCATGCTTCGCTTCACTTTTAACACGCCGCCCCATGCTATTATTAGTATTATACTGGGGCACCCCGTTGGCAACACAAGAGAGATATGAAAAGACAAACGCATCCCTATATCTCGCAACCAGTTACACTGTTCAGTACCAGTTCTTTTCTTCGTCACCCCCCATTCATTTCAATGACTATTTTTAGCGACTAAGTAAAGATATCATTATTATTCTGAGAATAATCAAATGAGGAAGAATAGGCACTGTAGTGAATTATGGGAGCGGGAAAGGGTTGCGTGAAGATATTTGGATATGTATAGGGCGGTCCTGATTTATAAAGTAGTACTCCCACTTTCATCATGTCTTTGTCTTTGGCTCCCCATATTACTAATTATATATAAAGTATATAATTATTTTCCACACAATTCATGTTATTGAACCCCTTTTCAATCTAGTGCTTCTGCTTTTCCCTACTTTATTTTTTGTTTCTGTGCCAATCACATATCCTTTTCCGTTCATTCAACTCCTCTCTTCATAATTTATTGCCTTTTGTTTTAGGGCTCTCCACGAGGATCCCCCTCCCGCTCTGCCTTGTCCACATCTATCATATTATATCCAACATTTTCGTCCTCATCTATGAAATGATTGCCGCATTTTTGTGTCTTGTATGCGACTTTGCCGGAGTTCAGAATTTAACGTACACGTGGCATACCACGGCACACTTGTTCCAGATTAATATATTCATTTAGTTTTTTGCCAAGCACAGTCCCGCAGTATCTTCCTAATAGAAACAATCCCGTTTAAAATATTATCAGGCACTACGTGTGAACACCTTTCTCACTGGTAATTTGAATAGTAGTTTGTTACATTGTGATAAACTAATCTCTTTTACTAAACTCAACGCCATCAGTTTATACTCGTCTTTTTTTTTTTTTTTTTGGGGGCATTCTATATTCATTTAGTTTTATTTATAAAAAGGAGCTCCGCTGGGAGTGGGCGTAGATCACATCCGGAAGAGATAACCCAGCCTCCATTTAAATTGGGCCTTGTTTTGAGAATTGTATAGTCACGGGCCGAAATTTGGACCTTCTTATGGACCCAACCTCAATTTTAGCCCAATGGCTAGAAGTCAAGATAAATTCATCTGGTTTCAAAGGTTTGACAAATTAATTTAAAATACACGAATTGATTCACAAGCATAAATAATTGAAAATATGAGTAGATCTTGTTCAAGAGTGACGACTGACTAGAGAAGAGAGAGGGAAGGAGAGAGAATATGTTTTGTATGCAGCAACAACAAGGTAACCGTTGACATTTCACATTTGACAATTCCCTGCACTTCCTTTTCACTACTCGTTCATTCACGTAGACGAAACCAATTTGGATTTCTAAACTTCTCAACCCCACATCACACCAGCTGACCAAGAGCAAATGATTCCACAATCTTCTTGATTATTATTGTTATTATTTTTTGGGTCATTATTATTTTAGTTCAAATGAAATTCAGAACTTTCAATGGAGGTCCCCAGTTTTTAATTCTGATAAATCCAAGAAGGTCCGGTTGATTCAAAATCAGACAACAGAACGGACACTAATAAAATTGAATCATTTGCTTGCACACCTGTATTTGACTATTTTGTTAACTATCAAACTGATAAATCCGAATCAAAGGGAGTCTGTCAAATTATTATAAAATTAATTAATAATGATGATATGATACTCTAAACTTCTAATAATCTGGTTGCAGTGATATTTTAGTTGTTTAATTTTCGCCAGCCCAATTTGATGAGTCTATCTCACCTTAATCATGATTAAAAAATTGGGGAAAATACAATCACCGCATAGAAAATTTGGCATTAATTTCGGGAATTTAAAAAGCAGAAGAAAAATAGGGATAAGGCGATTTGGGACTCCAAGGCATTTCATGATTTGATTTCCCTAATTACCCTCAGAGAAGTCAATGCTTAGTCAATCTTAACCCTGCGCACGCTTTGAGTAAGCAGCAAGGTTCGGCGAGGAAGGCGGGGGTATTTTGGAGATGACACACAAAAAGCAACCGCCACTCTGGGTCCTCTCAACGACTCTCAGCGTGCCAAACTATTAATTTTGATCTCCTCTGTAAAATTTTTGGAAAGCACAAAGAACAAGAAGAGCAAGTAGACAACTCCTCAGAGCAAGATCATCAAGCTCTTCATTTGCAATAGGTAACCTTTATCGCGTTTTCTTTCTCGTTAAGAGTTCTTGACCGTCGCTTCCTCGTTTCCAATTTGCCTCGCTTTTTATGTATGTTTGATTTCTGGGTGGTTTTCTTTTGGCCATGCCGTGGTAATGCTTGTTTCTTGAATTCTAGTGTGCGTTGAAGTTCTTGATTCTTCTATGGTTGCTAATGACTAATTTTTCTTGGATAAATTTGGAACTAGGACGAGCATTGGGCGAACCGACCTTATTTTTCTTAGACTTGAACCAGTTCTCTGTTTTCTTCTCCCCTTTTGACTTTTTATTTCAGTTTTTCTGTTCAATTCAATCCGATTTTCTCATTTGATCTTTCGGTGACAAGTTTCCGGTTTCCCTGTTGTGACAAATGGATTATTGGGTCTAGTCGATTTATAGGAATTAGAATGATCGAGAAGCACAGGTGAAAGGAAAGTTCAAGAACTGGGCTTTTCCGTACCACGGATTTCTATTCATTCAAATTTAAGGGGGCTTACTGGGAACTGTAATGGTGATCTAAGGACCCCCCCCTTTTTTTTATAATCAGCCTCCATTGTTTTGCTCTAGTTTCGGGGAGGCCGACCGAGAGTTATCTACCCTGGTGTCTGAAGTAACTGATTACGCAGTTTCATTCAAAAAATAAAGTAAAACAAAGGGGCTAAATCATCAGAAAGAAAAATCTCAATGGGCTTCGGTGCTTCTAGTTCCTAAAACTCGATTTCCTTCCCCGGGGGATAACGTCGGATTTATTACTGCGTCTTGCCGGCGCTGCCAATTCTTTAATCTCTAAATTTCATAAGGCCAGAATTTTCCTATTAAAAATATCTTGGGGGTTTCTTCTTCCTTAGAGTTTGACTTATTTCATCATTGGCAGAAATGGAATATCAGAACCTGGGAAGGCAACAGAGATCTAAAGGGGCCAACATGAAGCAGGCATTGATGGTGATGCTGCTTGTGGTTGGTTGTGCTTGGTTGACATACCAGATCAACCATTCAAGACATAAACCAGACGACTATGGCCGACTACCCAAGCCTCTTGAGCAATACTGGGCTGTGTCCTTGGGGCGTAAAGGCTCACCATCATGGTTGTATGAAATTCAGTTCCCTACTACCTTGGGAAAAGTCCATATAGAAGAACCTAAGAACGATGATAATTCTGGAAATACGGATGACACAGCAAGCAAAAGTGAGGCAGATGACAAAGGGCAAGGCAATGTTGAGAATTCCAAGATGGCAGTCATTAATGATTTTGAAAGTAATGAGAAGGAAGCTAAAACCTTGACAGGTGGGGCTTGGGCCCATACCTTTGACGATGAAAACGGTGTTCCGCCTGAAGTTAATGGAACTGAGACAATGGGCGGCGTGGCGCAGATCGACATCGTGCATGGAGAAAACATATCAAATGATAGTAAGGGAAATGGAGCCGTCAAAAGCAATATTTTAGGAGTCAAATCTTCAGAAAATGACATTGTTGAAGTGACTTTTGGAGGCTCAGAGTCTATAGTAGTTGATGCAGAAGTAAATTCTCAAAGTATTATTGCTCATGCTGATGCATGAGTTTGTAAGACTCTGAGTCTGTTTCGCGTAATTGTAAATAAGAACTCATCAGAATCACCTGTTATCATTAGCAGCAAAAGCAAAAAGCTGCTGGGAACAGAAGATCTTTCTTTCTTTCGTTCTTTCTTTCCATCATGTACAATCTTATTTTTTCAGAAGAAATCAGTGGCTGCATGATTTTTGATGGAGGCTTTCACACTTTTTTCCCCCCCCGGTTGTGAAGTATAAACATAAAGACCTGTTACTCGTCCTTTGTTTTTGTTTTCAACTTCTTTTCTTTTCAAGTCATCACCATTGCTACTAATTGAGTCTCACTGATTTCCTCTATTCAGCCTTTTCCCCCTTTGAACTTGGTTACGGCAACGTGGCCAATCATGAAGTGTTCAAGCATGAATAGGGTGCATGAGACATACAAGTCTAAATCTAAAATCTAATTTGTAGTGCAACTTACATTAGAAACCAAATCTTATATTTAAATTCGAAAGTAGTATAATCCTGTGTTTCAAAATTCAAAGCTGAGTCGAACAGATCTATAGAGAAAAACTATTGATTGCTGTGTTGGCAAGCATCATACTGAATAACCATAAAAAACCAGAAATTCTGTACTATGACTTTTTTAATTGAAAATCGAAAATGCAATTGGACTATTTTTGTGCTGTTTAGCATCTTGCTCAGCTCCGGTCACTGTCTGTATTGCTGGCTAAAATGTAAATAAACGTGCTTTGAGAATGTAGTGCGGACTGTGTCAAAATTGAAAATGGACCCTGAAACAAACAAGGACAATCAAATACTTGGCCACTACCAGTGGTATCTAAAATTGAAGGATGCATATATTTCAGACAAAGTAGTGGTAGTGGATCAGAGACACTTTGTGATTGGCCTTTGTTTCTGCATTATGCTTCACCACTTCGCCGAGATTGTCTTCTTTCTTGACCCCTAACTTCTTCTGGTTCATATTTCAGCTAGGCTGGACTATTGAGGGGACCGTTTGTATTATTTGTAATTCATTCAATCCAACGTGATTTTAAGGCTGTGGCCCTGGCACCGTGACGCTTCCTTCCTAGTTTCTGTGGAAGTTTCGGATTAATCTATTTTTCTATATATAAAATCGTTGTATAACTATAAACGATTGGTTGGTTAGGAAAAAACGGATGCATCCTGACACAAAACATAGCGCAGTTACTGTTCATCGTGATCATTCCCTTGTCTTCTTTTTTATTTCTGAAAAAAAAAAGGAAAAAGAAAAAACGGTTCATGTTGACATTGACAGGTGGGTGAGGCCAACAGCAATAACCAAAATATCAATGAAGAAAGAAGATATATGTGATGATCGTGCACCAAGAGTTAGATATAGATATTAAATTTGGTTCTAAATATAAAATATCAATTTATTTTGATTTTAATATTCATTTATTCTCCTCCTAAGTAATCCTTACAATGACTGAATATGTTAAAAAAAATTTTATACTATCAGGGAGAAATTTAAATCTACACAATTAATGAAGGTATTTTTTCAAATAAATAATATCTATCTATTAACTAATTTAACTAGTTTGTTTTATTATATTTTAGGGAGGTAGTATTATATTGCGTCTATGTGGCTCCAACCTATCATGAGGATGGAAGGTGAGTTTTTCATTAAAATCATTTCCCAAACCTTCTAATTCCAAAGGAGGATGTGGAGGCATATTCGACCGCATGAGCAAATATTAGATGTAAACTTGCGTTGTCTCTTTGTGTGTGTATGTTTTTATAGCTGAGAATAGAGGCAGCCCGTGCATTGCAGGCTAGCTCATCACAACCTACAGGTTATGCAGTGTGGGTTGAAGGAGCCCGTATTTTCAAGGTCTGGAAAAATACCAACCTTGACCCGCTATAGTAGATTGGCGGGCTAGCCCGCTAGCCTGTCATTTTTTTTAATTCTTAATTTTTAAACCTTATTTTTACTTATTTTTAAAATTAATAAATAGTGATCCAAAGTTTCAAAAGCAATTACAAATATAAATTATGTTTAACTACATTTAAAATAGTCAATACAAATATAAAACAATACATTACAAATATTTTACATGATTAACATTCAACATCAACTCATCAAGTGATAAATTTTACAATTTTTTTCATACAAGTACCATGTTTGATACAAAAAATTATCTCTTAATAAATTAGAAGGGCATTTATCTATTTTTTTTTTAAAGTTGATTCATCTTGTTTTTCTAAAACACTTTTTTTCCATTACAAATATTGTCTTATATTTGATTTTAGTTATTAAATTTTTTTATAAATATACTATGCTTATTTTTTAAAAATATTTTTTTATATGTATAATGTAACATGAAAATTGAAATGTAAACAAGGGAAAAAAATTTCAAATATAACAACCTATTATTTATGTGGAGAAAAAAAAATGGCGGCTTAAGCGGGTCAACCTGCGAGTTAGCCCGCCACAGCTCACGGGTTATACAGTGCAGGTTAGAGTAGCTTGCATCTTAACTGGTTAGCAAAATGCCAACCCTAACCCATTCTTTTTTAGCTGGTTGGCGGATTGACCTGTGAGCTCCAACCCATATTCCCTGCTCTATGTGTTTTTTTTTTTGGGCCGAAGATTATGTTTTGTTGGGGATTATTATTACCCGAACCTATTTATAAAAAATAAGTTATGAATAAAGTTTAACTAAAACTTATTTTTAATAAATAGACGCCAAAATGATATTTTGTCACGGGACTTCGATTTTAAGCCATGGCTCATCATTTTTTGTGTATAAAATTACTCATAAATCTCAGGTGAAAAATTTAAATACAGAAACTTTCTAACAAAATTATTTTTGGAAAGATGAATATTTTAATCCTCTAAGTTTTAACTCAGTTATGATTCAGCCCTCAGCATAACTCAAACCTTAAACTTTTATATCCTGTTTGCTACGAAACATTGCATATAAGGGTAAGGATTGAAGTTGAGGTTAAAAAAAATTATATGTTAAAAAAGTATTTAATATAAGTGATTGCTTATTATTTAGAATTGAGCAAATCCATGTATGCGGGATTGAAAAATATCATGGGGAGGTAGTATTCCCTGATCCTACTTATATGGGATTACTTAGTTCCATGTAACAAGAAATTACACATATTAAATACTCTTTAATAGCTTTATACAATCTCAATCCAAACGAGACTTTAACTCTTTTAAAACTTAGTTATTAATATTTACTCCATTTAAAAACTTTATCCTGTCATTCATAAGTCAAACTGAGTCATCTAACCTAACAAAACGTCAGAACTAGGTTTGCCTTCTCTAGCAATGGTCTCTTCTTTGACATTTTTTATTGCCCAAGCTTTTCTCCCTTCTCTCCTCATGCTGACGTGGCTTTTATATGTTTGTTGATTCAAGCTAGGTTGGATGACTCATTTCTGCTTATGGATGATAAGTGTAAACTTTTTAAATGGAGTAAATACTAATGACTAAATTTTAAGCGAGTTATTAAAAATTTAGGGATTGGGTTACATCGAATTATAACTGAGAGGTTAAGTTATAATTGAGCTAAAATTTGAAGGACTGAAAGACTAATTTTTTAACTATTTTTTTACAAGTTTAACTTGTAAGCATGAGTTTTGACAAAAAAAAAAAAAAATTGTAAGCATGAGAGTTTGTTTGTAAACAAAAGTTGTCCAATTTGACTTATAAATAAAATTTTTTGAGATCTTTTCGAAAATGCATCTTTAATGTAGGGTAGATTTGGGGAAAATATGGCATAAAATAAAGGGAAAATTACAATTAGGTTCCACCTAAAGAAATTAAATACAAAAAAGTCTCTTCAAATCATGAAATTATTCTGAAATCTCAAGAGACTTTTTCGTAATAAATTTTATTTGTTTAATTATTAAATTACTCTTCTTCTTTTTTTTTTTTGAAAAATTTTACATTGACAACTGAAAGAGTAATGGTTGACAACTTAGGGTGCAAGGATTGACAACTATCACGGCTGGTTTGACAACTTAGGGTGTGATATGCTGAGAAAATGTGTTGTCAAACCAATCGCGATAGTTGTCAATCCTTATACCCTAAGTTGTCAATCACTGCTCTTTCAGTTGTCAATACAAACTTAAAAAAAAAGAGTAATTTTGTAATTAAACAAATAAAATTTATTACAAAAAAGTCCCTTGAGACTTCAGAATAATTTCATAATTTTAAGAAACTTTTTTGTATTTAATTTCCTTGAATGGGACCTAATTACAATTCTCCCTAAAATAAACTCCTTGCGTGCATGTTTTTATCAATTACATGCTATATATTTAGGGCAGAAGCATGAACTCACTGCGACCTAGCTACATGTGCTCCCTGTCCAGGGGTACCAAACACCAGAATCTCATAGGTTTTTCTCTCCTCCACCAAATTCAGTTGAGTTATTTAGATCAAATTTTAGTAGTTAAAATTTATTTATCTATTTTTAAGTAAAATACTAAAATTATAATGATATTTTTATAAAATATTAAATAGGGACCATTAAATAGTAATGAGCTTTTCAGATTAAATTTTAGCCATTATAAGATTTATTTATATACTTTTTAAGTATGGAATGTTGAAGTTTTAATCCAATTATGATTAAGAGAAAAAAAGCGTAGAGTAGAGTAGAAAGTCCTGCCGTTTTAAGGGTGAAGGATGAAATTATAAGTGGGTAGAGAATTTCATATTCAATCTTCTGATTTTAAATATAAAACCCATTTTATGATATATTTTTTATTATAAAATGAATATTATATTTAAAACAAGAGGAGTATTAAATAACCGCACAACAAAAAGCTAGTAGTAAAGATTCATACGCGGGTGTTAGTTGAGAGGGACCAGGAGGGGTAAAGGCTTGGAATAATATACTACGTCCGCTTCTTGTTAATATAAAAATTAATTGGAGAGCTGAATTTGATTCTAAATGTATGCTCTTAATTTATCACCCTTTTTTTTAAAAAATATTCTTATTGATGGTAAAGGGATTCATACTAAGAGATAATTCTCATCATCTAATACATATAATTGAAAATGATAATTTAATTTAGGAAGACCAAAACACATTTGTAATAAATAATCAAGTTAACTAATTTTTTTAATAAATCCAAATTAGCTATCTAATCATTATATTAAGAATAGGGAGTAATACATGGCGGACAGAGATACCAGACCCACATTAAAAACGACCTTGTGCCCCACCTCACGTTAGTGGCTTTGGCGTTTTGCACTGTACCTTGCGAAAGTCGCCCAGCATAATCAATTTTCATTGTACTTTTTTTAATAATATTTTTATTAATTAAAATAATTTAAAAAAGTGCTACTTAATATCTAATATACTACCTCCGGTCCTTCTAAGAGAAACCTCGTTTTGACTTTTATTTTGACGTTAAATATATGATTCTAATTTATTTTGTTTCTCATATTTATTTTTTTTTTAAAATAGTCTTTTTAATAATGGTAGTTCTAACTCATAAATTTGATTAGCAAGGATATTTTAAAAAAGACAACACATATTTATTACAAATAACTAACTTAACTTGTTTCGTTAATCTACTCAAATTAGTTAACTAGTTCTTATATTTTGAAAACTATCATATCATATTTAATTTAACATTAAAGTAATCATTCCGCCGTCTAATTGAGGACAACTCCTTTAATATAATTTTTTTTTTCATTCATAAAATTTGAGTCCTCAACTGTAAAAATTTAAGGTGAATGTGAACCATTCCATTCAATCAAACCAAACAATGTAACGACTTTGTAATAATAAAATCAGATATTTTCTATGAGAGCGCCACCACATGTCATGACGCACGATGGATGAAAACTCCACTGCGTTTTCTTTTTAGTTTTAAACATGTAAAATGCAATTCGAAAGGCGGACATTGTCTGTATTTGTCAAATCTTCACCTACTTGCCTTGTTATGTTGTGTAAATATTCCACTTCTTCCTCTTATTTACAAAAGAAAAGAAAAGAAAAGGAGAGACCATATTGATTATTGAGTGACCTCTTTGTCACCACGTTTCGAAGATATATGGCATGTGTCATATATCAGCCTCTCAATGTGGTTATGTTTTTTATTTGATTTAAATTTTCACGAGTCACTAAGGCGAACGCATGCTCTGTGTATAAAACCATGTCCAAACCACACCACAGCAAGCAACCTGATACTGATCAGTGTGGGAATACAGTTTGGTTGGTTAATTGGAGGAAAAATGGAAGAAGCTGGTGGGAGAAAATGGAAGGGGAAGGCGAAGACGGAGGTAAGGGGACACAAAGCAGAGAAAGTATGGCCACTCATCGCCGACTTCACTGGCCTCAGCAAGTGGTTCCCTACTCCGACATGCATCCCGGTGGAAGGCGTCTCCGGCCAACCCGGCTGCGTTCGCTTCTGTGCCGGCTTCAAGACGCCGGTGGATCATCAAAAGGACAGACAGACAACGAATTGGACGAAGCAGAAACTGCTGTCCATTGACCACACGAACAAGACCTTAAAGTATACGATCACAGAGAGCAACGTGGGATTCTACTCGTACGTAGCCACATGGAGAGTGAAGGATTGTGGAGAAGGAAGTGAAGTTGAGTGGGAATACGAAGTTAAGCCTGCGCAGGGATGGACTCTGCAACAGTTGGATTCCTTCGCTAGCTCTGGCATGAAAGTGATGGGTGAGAGGATGGAGGCTGATCTCACTGCTATGGAACAAGCTCTTCAGGCTTCCAATTGAATTAAGCCTCCTTCGGTTTTAAATTAAAGCTGATCTTATTGGCTGTTGCTGTGTGTGTGTGTTCGCAAGAGTTTAGCAGAATAATTTGGAAATTACTAATGAGTGTGAGTACGTTTGAGTTTCAGGTGGTGCTGTTGCTCTGTGTCGATCAGTGTGATATCTTTTGTAGCCGTGTCTTCTTCTGCGCTCATGTTTTACTTGGGATCTTAGGATCTATAATTGACAGTAAATAAGAGGGAGAGGGAGTGGAAAAAGAGAACCATGAATGAGTTCAATATTTTGTTTCCTGGGCCTCTTTGCCTTTGCTTGAAAAATCTCACATTTTCATGGCCATAACATTTTGCTTGAATGCAATATTTGAAGCAAATTAAAAGACTGCCTCGTCTTCTCTCTCTCTCTCTCTCTCTGAGTTCCTCTTCCTTTTCGAGTGAGGGAGCCATATACAAATCAACAAATGGTTTCCCTTTCTAATGTAAATTACCATTTTATCATTTATTTTATTTTTATTTGGGTAAGTTGCGTTATTTTATTATCTCTGTCATGGTCATTGAGGATAATGACAGCTGTCTTGGTTACGTTGGTGGTAAAAGTGGAGGATTAGGTGAATTGTTTTGTGGGAAGGGCAGGGCCCAGAATGATTTCATCGTATTTCTCATGATAAGAAAAATGAGTTATTTCACAATATAGAGGTTTAATGTAAATTTTTACATTCTATATTGACATTGATATTGATGATTGATGTTAATATGGTAGGAAAAGTTAACCTAAGCCACTTTATTTTGTCTCAGTTTTTTAGATGGGTCCTCATAGTTTTTCTTTTTTTTGGAGGATAGTACTATCCCTAAGGGATACATGTCGATCAGCAAATCGCATCTACAATTTTTTTTTGGGGTGATTGATGAGGTCTTGGGTGTAATTTTACTTTTCTCTTTCTTTTTTCTTCAACCTTTAAATATGACATATTCGATGAAGACGATGACTTTTTTTTTTATAGGTACATTTTTCTTGCTATGCGCATATTTTCATATTGGAAGTAATTTTGTTTGAGGAATTATCAAATACTAAATGTTCTTTTTGACTAGACACGGGTATTATTGGAGGCAATTTTATTCGAAATGCTATCAGACATTAAATGTGAACACCTCTTCTAACGGAGATTTAAATCTTAGCTTATCATGTTATAGGGAACTAACTTATTCTGCTAGACTTATTATTAAAATAATAACTCAATCAATGCTAATTTTGATTTCTTTCTTGCCCATTGGGCCTGCGTTCCTTCGTCTTAGGGCCCAAAATGTCAGAAGCCTATAGCGCTAAACAATGAATGAATGCCCATGCAATAATTTAGTACTTGTTTGTCATCACTTATATCAGAACTTATAAGTATATTTTACATAAATTAAGACAAAATTTCTTCTATATATGATTAAAAAGCTACTTATAAACCACTCCAAACAGCTTGTAGTGTTTAACTTCTGAATTGTACAAAATGAATGGGCTGAATTTAATTCTCAGACTTCATGTCAACTTTCCTCTCTATTATATTTGCTTACCATCATTCATTCCAGGTTTTCAACCTTAAAAACCGATCTTGTTTCCGTTTTAACTGGACATCACCATTATTCAACTTCTGGAGGCGTATTCTTCCACAAACTAGCTAGTACTATAGTTATTTTTCTTTTCTTAACTTAAACATCTGCTATTGTAGATGTAAACAACATGCAAACTAATGTTTGGACAGCATATGGCTCTCATAATAGCACCAGGTTTTGATCAAGATAATTCCACGTTTGAAAAGACGGTTTTTTCCGAACAAGTTCCTCAACGTGATAAGTTTTCTTTTTGAAAAACAGGGCAGCATGGATAATATATATTGATTAAATATGTTGCACAAATAGAGAACTAAAAGCTTCACTTATTTATGAAGCCAAGGGATGGGGCAAATACAACATTGGCCGAAGAAAATGAAAAGAAAAGAAGTTATTTTGTGTAATTCTCCAGATATAGGAGGCAACAAAGGCTTAAGTGGCAATTTGAAGAAAGGGAGAGAAAGCAAGCCAAGAATAACAAGAAAATTAGTCCCAAATGTCACAAAAGGAAAAGCTGCAAAGGTGAAGCTAGCATACATGAAGCTTGGTATTAGCCAAATTCTTTCATGGAATTTAATTTCATTATTCATCTCACAACTATATACTCATCTAATTTCATGGCATCTTCAAGTTCCAGCATTACATAAACACTAGGAATTTACGTATGCAACAAACAGAACAAGTATTGGATGTAAGAATTGACTACGATTAATAAAAATATTAGGAATTCACTTAATCGGGCAGCGCCATGGGAAGCAGCAGAAGGCCGAACGCGAAGTACAGGAAAACTAAGGAGCAAGGTTTTTTACTAATTCTCCTCTTGTTTTACCTGGGATCTCAGAATTTATATGAGGGGAACAATTGAAGTAAATAAGAGGGAGAGATCAGAATGGAAAGAGAACCATGAACAAATTCCTTATTTACTGTGTCAGTTTATTATTATTATTTTTTAATAGATGTTTTACTTATTTACGTCAAAAATCTCAGATTTTCTTTTTCTCTCTTCTATCACAAACAAATTCGCACGCTTTTATTCGGTTTCCGGATCCTGACGACCGATCCAGCCAGCTTCCCCCACCCAAAAAAGAATTATATTAAAAGAACATTTGTTTTTTGATGTTGTGTTAAAAGAACATTTAGGTTCCGTTTGATACGAAACATTAAAAATGAAAGATAAGGACTGAGGTTGAGAGTGAAAAATTATATTAAAAAAGTATTTAGCATGAGTAATTGTGTAATACTTGGGATTAGGCAATCTCATATATGTGGGATTGGAGAATATCATGTGGAGACATGGTATTCTCCAATCCCACATATATGGGATAGGCTAATCCCACGTGATAAGAAATTACTCATGTTAAATAATTTTTTAATATATGTTTTCAACCTCAAGCATAATTTTTATCTCTTAGTTTTAATGCTTCGTACTTTAAAGTACAATGTTCAATGTAATTTTCATATGACAAATAGCAGGAAAATAAAAGAGCTTACCAGAAAACTAGGATCGTTAATATAAAAGCAAATATTGGCGAAAGAATTAAACATACGAAGAATATCAGGCCAAATAGCATTGAGAAACACGTCGCAGTCCTGTTCTTTAGGAAATCAGATTTAGCGCAAATGACCATTAAGTTGTGATGGGGTTGCCATCCATTACATTTGAGTATCCAATGGCTTCTTTTCCCCTTAACCTTCAGCAAGATGGAATCCATGGAGCCATTATTATTATTATTATTTTTTGAAAAAAAGCTTTATAATAGGCCAAGAAAGATATAAAAACTAGATAATAAATTATGCGGAATGATGTAAAATGTTGTGAAAATGTTAAACAATAAAATTTAATTTATTGTTTAGTGTCATTAAAACACAAGCCCTTGGAAGATCAGAATAGGAGCAAACAGTCGAGTTCTTGGTCATGCTCATGAAACTTAATTGGATGCAAGATTTGAAGCAACAAACTGCCTCGTCTTGTATTTATTTGTCTCTTCCTCCCGGTTCCTATTGATATGCATGGTTGATATCACTTTAGGTAGAATTTAATTTTATGAATACAATTTTTTTTAAAAAAAATACATTTCTTTCTTCCCCATTGGGCGCAGGTTCATTCGTCGTATTAGAAAAAGATATAAGCCCATTGAATTAAGCATCGAATACCCGCGGAATGATTTAGGGTGTGTTTGGATAGAAACCAAACCATGGTTTCAGAAGTGCTTTTACGGATTACGAAGTAAATATGTGGAGGAGATTATCTCGTTTTGCGGAAAATTGCTTCTGAAACTACGGTTTTGAGATACCCAAACAGGCCCTTAGTGTTGGACTTGTAAATATGTCCTAATTATGATGGACATATTTGACCCAAACAAAATACGCACCCCTTTCAGAGTTCCTTCGATGGCCCATTTGGTAGATTGAAAATAACATGTTAGCTTTCTTACGTCCTATATTTCCTGAGACACTGAATATGAGGAATATAATCTATTCGTCTTGCAAGACACCTGGCTGTTCTGGCATGAAGAAGAAATGTACTACTTGTATATCACATTTTTTCAGAGCTCCATTAATTACTACTTCATTCTTGCAAGCATGCGTGAGATTCCATATTGTGTATAGAAAAATCTTTCCTCTGTAAAGCCAGCTCATTTCCCGATTCGAGGACTTGTTACTTCATTCTTGCAAGCCCGCATCGAGAAGATAATTGATGCGAACTACACTAATACAGTTGGTTTGTGATTACTTTCTGCGCTTGTTCGGATTAATATTATTTGGATCAATCTAAAGAACAGCTAAAAATTAAAAGTTAAGAAAAAAAAGTTACTCATAGCTTCCATTTGATTTTTGACCCAAAAATATTTCGGCTGCGTGTTCTGCTACGGCTCCTGCGGAGGGGTCACATCACAATGCGATTTGGATAAAGTGATGGCCTAAAACATTTGTGCTCAAATTGGCTTCTACGGATTTCTTTGTGGACCTGGCTTCTCTCCATTGCCTGGTACCCTCTGCTTCCCTGCTCTACCCAAAACACTGCCCTATCGGGTGCAAAATAAGACGGGCTGATTGCTTCTTTTTTCTTTTGACATTTTGAAGTTTTTTTAAATAACATCTAATATTCTGAAATAATTTTTAGTATACTTAATACATTAAAATATTTTTTTAAAAGCACCTTGCATTCTAAAGTAATATTTTCTAAAATATTTTTTCCGTAGCACTTAGTATTTTATAATAATTTTTAGTTCATTCAACACTTTAAAATATTTTTCCAGTAATATCTAGTATCTTAAATATACTTTTTAGTAGCAACAAACACTCTAAATCTAGGACATTTTTGCTACTTCAAAAACACTTTTAAGGTAAAAACTACTTTATAAAATTGGATGTCACTAAAAGAATATTTCATAAACTGGGTGTAACGAAAAATTATTTAGAATATTAGATGCTTATGAAAAATATTTTAATATACTAAGTGTACCAAAAATTATTTTAAGATATTAGATGCTACTTAAAAAACTTCAAAATACCAACAAAAAAAAAAGTAATCAGCCCCTCTCATTTTGCACCCAAAACGACAGTGTTTTGGGTAGAGGAGGGAGGCGGAGGGGACCTGGCAGCGGAGAGGAGCCAGGTCCCCGTCGGGCGTCAGCATAAAGTAATGCCATATCAAATTTGTGCTAAAATAAAATTTAATTTTTTAATAAAAATATTATAACAAATAAATTCCAAATTGCTAAAAAAAAAAAAATCGAATGAGTGGGTCAATAAAAGGAAAAAAGAAAAAAA